TTAATCTTCATTCAAGTATAAGTAAAAAGTAAGCTGCAGTCAAAATTCTCCTAAAACTAAATTTTTCACTAAATGTTACTCAAATATAACTGAGTAAATGTAACAAATTACTAGTACTAGAAACTGCCTCCCTTCATAGGAGCAATTTATATAATTGCTCCTATGAAACAATTTATATAATTAAATATTTATATAATTATATCAATATGATTATTTATATAATTATAAATAATTATATAAATAATATGATTATTTATATAATTATATAAGCAATTTATATAATTGCTCCTATGACTTTAAATGGTAAACCAACAAATGCAATTTTATTTATGTAGAAAATATTTCTCATTCAGTTCCTAAAAACAGAAATGCATACAATGTCTTCATGCGTTAAACAAATAGAGATCATAGAATCAACTTAGAGTTTTATGTTTTATTTTTTACTTTGTGTTATATGATCGATTGACAAAAGACAAAAAGGTGATTGCATTGTTTATCCATTCAATAATAGACCATAGAAGTGTCATATAAAAAATAAAAAGGTAGATGAAGTGCTAAAACCAGGATTTCATGCTGTCTTTGCATTAAAAACATGATTTAAACTTATTAAGAGGACTCTGTGAAATAGGTACATACACAATGTGGATCTGGAAGCCTCAATTGTATTTATTTTCCTCATTTTTTAAATACATTTCTCTTATTTTATGTGATTTTATTGCTGCAAAGTGTTTTAAATCTCTCTTGCTTTGTTTGCTGGTTTTGATCATTTCTCATATTAAATGTGTTCAATAAACTGACCTTTGTTGTCTATGGATACGTTGTCACATGGCTTGCTCCTCTGGCTGTTCAGGGTTTGCATGCTCTCACCATGCTGTCATGCAGATTGAAATGTTGTCTCTGTTACCATGGCGACAGACCTGTGACCTGTCCAGGCCACACTTCTCCTCTCAAATGTGACACAGGATAGAAGATCAAAGGATGGATGACTGAACAGAAGTTAAAAACTCTGGATCAAACATGATATTTAATACATGCCGCAGCTATGGCTCAAGAGAAAATGATTTCACCATTACGTAACCTGAACTGCAGCACGCCGTCCTGTGATGCAGCAGCAGAGGCTGGAGATGGTCTGCAGCTCTCAGCCCACCACAGAGGAGGTGGGACATGTTGCTCAAGATGTCTATTCCTCATCCTCCCGTTTGTTGATGCCTTCAGGCTGTCCAGCTTGTTGTTGATCCATGCTGCCACCCCCGCAGAGCTGCCGCCTCCCCAGCACAGCAGCGGGACGAATCTCACTCAAAGCAGCGTTAGACAACACCAGTCAAGTTAAATGATTCTTTTTGCAAATTATGTCAAATATCCAAAGGTTTTCAAATGACCGCAGCACAGGAACATGTATCAACATGCTGAAGCTCAGGGGTTTGTTTTGTTAAGTTGCCAGCAGATAGAGTGAGATGCTCAGCAGAGCATGCCTTCAGATTTACAGGTATGCATCTTCAAACATATTCCCACAGCTCAGTGCACCAAAGCAGCTGCACACCCATGACCTTTTGTTCATGCTTACTTTCATCTCCAGAGCAATGAGTCACAACCCTTCTCTGCATTGTAGAAACTTAAAACCTGTATTATAATATTCAGAGTGCTCTGTCAACACTTTACTGTTAATGATGAAATATTGAACTTCCATACAAGAACCTTCTGAAGTATGAAATTTTTGCATAATGGCAATTAGATGTGAGGGCAGTCCACCTTATCGTTTAATTATTACTTGTTGAGTATGGATTATGCAAAGCCTTAAAAATGAGATTAAATCTTTGTGAGAATAAAACTTAACCTTGGCTCAGTTCTGTTTCAGTCACCGTCTTAAAGATAATCTGCAGAGAACCGAACTGGAGAAGTTTCAAACCATGGCTCCAGAGAGTCAGATGTGTTTAGGAACCAGAATTATCTATGGTTAGCTTATTTTGCAGCATGTAAAGTGATTCATAATTTTACTCATTAGCTGGAACATCTGTTTGTCCCCAGCCCACAACTTTCCTCCTCAAAGGACCACTCACTTAATAAGCCTGTAATTAAACCTGGCTGCAGTCATTTTTGGTTTCCGCGGAAGGAAACAGAAACAGTAGCAGAACTAATGCTTTATGTTGTGCAGAATGAACCTCAGATTAATGTGGTCGGTCGTTTTAAGAAGCAGTGACAGCCCAGTTTCTGGTGCGTCCCCGAACGAAGGCCGAACTTCTCCGCTCAGCACCGGCAGACATGGAAGAGCTGACTGATGTTCGGACCTGGGAGTTTACATTCTGTCCAGCCTGAACCGAGGGCCTGTGTGCATCAGGTCCTACATTTTAGATATGAGCTTTCAGTGAATTCGACCATGAAAACACTAGTGTACTCTGCTTCCATCAACACCTATCTTGTGTTTGATTTTCTCCAGCTTTGATGTGCCTCTGTGACCTTTGCTGTCTGAGAAGCAGGAGAGAAAATCTTGCTTGTTTAAAGTGAATTTGACTTGACAGCAACAACAACTAACCCTAAAATCACACAGAACCACATCAGATGCAGCATCTGCGAAAAATGTCCATACTTCATCTTTTTTTTTCATGTACTGTGTCTTTACAACAACAAACATGACTGGATTTTGTTGAAATGTTATGTGGTAGTCCTACTCAAAGTTCATCCTAACTGTGAAGAAGAAGAGGAAAAAAATACATGGCTTTCAAAACGTGTTACAAGTCAAAATCTGACTAGAATTAATAAATACAGAATGAGTACACAGAGATCTAGAGAAACTTGGTTGGAAAAATATCACATTTAAAAAAGACTAAAGAGTAAAAACCAAAAACCCAAAACTGACTCAAAACGAAAGGGCTGGGCACATTTCCACCAATACGCTAATAGTGGAGCTAATTTTTCCATTAGTGCCTTAAAACGCTTCGCACATTTGGCTTCTCCTTGATTCTATGATCAAATCCTAAAGCACAAACTGACTTGGGTGTTTTGTAAACTTTCAATTGAATAAAATTTGACATCTGTGTTTAAGTTTTAGTTACTGACTTAAGAATTTTTCAAGAAGAAATTTTTAAGAATGGTTCCCCCCGCCCCAGATCACTAAAATAAAAAAAACGTACAGGGGCAAAATAAAAAAGATGGGAGAGAGCAAGTGGTAAAAGGTTTGAGAAGTATGAAGACTTCAGCAACATAATATTGTCAGATTATTAATAATTATCACTTTTAGCCTGGGTAAATATTTTGACAGAGGAATTTGACAACATAGCAACTAATAATTATCTTCATTTATTCCATCAGTGTGGTCAAAGTTAATTACTCAGAGAGATTTAGTTTGAAAACACAAAACCGAAAAAAGCAGCAGATAATTTATTAGCTGTTGATTTTTTTTTCTGTCAGGTAGTGAATGAATCAAATACTTCGTCCGGCTGCAGATACACAGAAAGAGGTAAACACACCCAGGATTTGACAGGTTTTCCCCACTTACTATCCAATTATTCCTCAGCGTGAGTGAAGCGGCCAGGGAGTGTGACGATGAGCCGAGCTATCAGAGGTCGGACGTGATGTGAGAGGATGAACTGTTTTCAGCCCTTCAAACCCTGTTAGGCCTAATAGCCAATTAGGGAGGTGAATGTCAGCTCATTGTTTCCAGGATTGTCACAGCAGCTGGAAAATACAGCACCTCTGGAATCAACAGGAACGGAGAATTCCCGGTGAGGCGTCCACTAATGTCCTGAAGGCTGCGATTAATCAAACTCTGGCAGGTATTGACAGCCATTGATTGTAAATTACTCCTTTTTTGTATCAAAAGAAAGTCCTTTGGTGACAGGAGGGCAAGTACATATTGTGTGGACTTAATGCAGATGGTCACCTGTACAGTCGGGCAGTATACAGTGACTCACACAAATATTCACCCCCTGCAACTTTGTCACAATTTAATTTCTATGAATTTTATTGGGATTTTATGTGACCGACCAACACAATCTGTTCCACACAGTTATACCTAAAATACAATTTACAGAGACTAATTTCTTTACAGTCACATTTTTGTAAATGTGGGAGGATGGACCCTGAGAGCAGTCATGCATGGAAAAAGGGATCGAATCCCAGCCCGGGGTCTCTTCAGTTTGCTATTCCTGTTCGTATGTGGGTTCTCTCTGGGTACCCCGACTTCCTCCCACAGTCCAAAGAGATTTGTAGCTTAATTAGTGTTTATAAATTGCTCTTATATGTGACAGTGTGCAAGTCTGCCACAGTAAGAAAATGATCAATTAATTGGGTGATAAAATAAAATGAACTTGATAATTTCCATTCTGATTATTAATATATTTTGAAAAGCAATTTTGTCTACAAAAACATCATAATCAATGTTAATGATGGTTTTGTAGGTTCAGATTACAGGATTTCTCTTTTGTCTTTGGTAAAAGACCACAAGCCATTTTTCCCACTAACACTAGACTTTGTTTTGGTTGCATTTACCCAGAATGCCCTCTGGTATTGTTCTCTTCCTGCTTTTGAAGCGTTCTCCAGTCTGCTTGGCGTTTAATAATGCATTTTGGTTCACATCAGAGTTTGACTACACATTCACACTTCCTCAAACGAACCAGATTTTCAAACGGAGTAGAGTTTGAGTAAAGTGAACTTCATGTGGATCTGAGTTATTGTTTTTGTTTCGGAGGAATTCCAGTAGAGGGACTTGAACATGTCACAGGACTATAAATACTCTAAACGCATCCAAAGTAAGATTACTAACTCCTTTAGGATGGGATACTCTGCCTTAAAACAGCAGAGCTGCATGATTTTTATTTCACTAACCGTTTTTCATTTAACCCATCAGAAGCCCAGAAAGGTGGGCGTCTATAAAACGTCGCATATTGCTCCAATATATTTATTATTTCCTTTTTCTTTACCTTTTATCAGCCAGGTAATGAAGTCATACTTTCACTTGATTGCACAGTTTATGCTGCCAGCGTGAAATGAAAAAAGTACAAACGTTAGGAACTAATATTTTATTTTTTTTTCTTCTGTTGCTCATTTTTAGAAACATTTCTCTCCAACAGAGCCATTACCACTGCAGAGCAGCAGGATTTTCTTTGTTGTGTAGTTAAGTCCTCGTCATTTCTTCCTCCAGTTTTTCCTTGACCTTTTGACATTTTCCATTTTAGGTCAAGTAAATAGCTTGTAGACAAACAGAGGAGGTCATTCTTCACACAGACAGTAGAACCAGTCGTCTTTGGGTGTTTTGACTCCTGCGTCATGTTGATTTGAGGATCTGTGAAGATGGGAGCTAAAGGCAGTGAGTTTGGTTCCTGCAGTTCAACACACTCACTTTTGCATTAACTAGAATTTGACTTTT